AGTCTAGTTTACTCATACCAAATTTCAGATAAAAATTCTATCGGGAAGACATTCAAATGAATTCTTGAAGATAACTGTGCCGTTAAAAGCGCTGTTATCTTCAAGAATTCATTTGAATGTCTTCCCGATTGAATTTTTAGCTGAAATTTGGTATGAGTAAACTAGACTTAATGAATAAGATGCTCAAAAAAATTTATCACAAAATTCCACCAGGAGCCGTCTCAAATGGCACGTCCGGACAGAATCTTCTATATAAGGACTTATTTGACGCCTTTTTTGCAACTTCGAAGACCAAACTGACCCTTTACTCCTTTATTATAGCAACTGAAATACTAAAACAAAATAATAACTAGCTAGAAGCCGCCAAGGTCGTTCCCGTTAACTCATCTTGGCACGCGTTCCACTCTCTCATCATATTCCTAGGCCTTGGCCTTACCTTTAGTATCTGTACATGCGAAGAAAGAAAACTGATAAGCTATACGCTTAGTAAGTCACTGTGGACCCACAAAAATATCTAGAAGTCTATGCCGATTTATCAATAGATAAATTTAGGCTATAAGCATGCACTGAACAAATAACTAACACATAACTTCTCAAATACATTCTGAGTAAGATCTCAGAAGAAAAATATTTTCTAAAATAATTTCTCAAAACTGCTAGAGAGATCTCCAAAATTCTTTCTGAAAACATCTATGTGAAACTTTCTGAAAGATATCTCAAAAACTTTATGTTAAACTTTCTGGAAGAGATCCCATAAACTTTCTGTAAACTCTTTGTGGCTAATTTTATCTATGGGCCCGTGATATGTACTCAAAGGCGCCAATCCGACAGCTCAGGGGAGCGACCCACTAAACATATCGGACTATATGAAACTAAAAACTGCTAATCTGAGGGAACTTGTTCCCGAGTACATATCACCTGATCTTTCACTTTAAATACTAGTTCTTTTTATGGTGGTGACATTTGATTAAGAAAAACATCATTAGATCTGAAAATAAAAGTACTGACAAAATCTTGACTATACCGGATAATAAACATAACTTAATACAGCAAATAAAATAACTCAGCAAATAATTCACCTGGTTCACATAATAGCATATAGACTAAAATCATCTAACAAAATCAACCAGACTTCTTTCTTTTATTTGGTTGAACAAACATGTACAGGTGGTAGTGAACTTACCTGTTAAAAGCTGAACTCATAATACTCAATTAAGTGTGGCACCTTGATAACGTCTTCCAGTAAGCTCTTCTTTGAAAATCTTTAATTTACAATATAATAATACCATGAGAACTCGTTAAACTTCTTTTTTTATAATTAAACTATGTATTCGAAACTTTGTGCTATCACTAGAGTGAGACAATCACAATAATAATTACATTATCTTTAGCTATTACAAACTAATTTACAGCTAGTATGAAAGAGCTAGATAGTTTAGATATAATTAAATACGTAGTAAAAACTTATCCAAACGGATCGTTCCCAATTTGTGCTAAACAAATTTATGGTAAGTATATATCTTGCTGCAGCATTTTATCAAAACAAAGAAAGGGATATATATTTATAAAACTAATCCATGTTACATTAAAAAGGTTCTGAATTTTGATTGACAAAAAGCCACATTCAAAGTTGAACTAAAATTCTGAAGCAACCCACTCGCTCAAGAGCCTCGAAGGACCTGATGTTTATTACCCAAACCAAACGAAAAGGTTTTTCCAGATTCTTTAAACAAAAGATTAATCTCAAAACCAATTGTGTTTGCTGCACGGTTTAACCAAATTGAAAACTTCAAAAGTTTCTACACTTTCTAGAATTAAATTCCCCCAAGACAAGAGTATAAAATCCTCAAAAGAAAAACAGGGTGGATTAACTTGATGGGGCAGGGGTATAAAATTCAAATATCCTCGTGATGGTTCAGAAAAAGAAATCAAGCTTTCCTTTTTGTTTTAACTAACTCAAGAAAGAATTATAATCAGATGGAAGGAAATCAACTTACTTGATTGACATAATCTGATTAATGCTTTGGTCTAAAATTGAAGAATTAGAGACAACATTTTGTTCGGTCGAGAGAGAAGAATGTGAGAGGTGCGGCTACTGTTGGTGGAAGAAAAAAATAAAAGGCCTGTGTCTGATACTCCTTTTTAGGGTTTTCAAACTTAAACATATTTATCTAGGGTTAGTTAACTAAATTGGGCTTCTAATCATCTCTTAATAAAATGTTTCTGACATTAAAAGTATTTTCTATTTCAAACTAAATTGATTAGTCTTTAAAACATTACTTATTTCTTCACTTAAAATTCTTAGAGCTTACCGGTCAACATTACCTGCCACAACAACACATGATCAAACAATACATCACACTATTCATAGAAGAAACTTATTTAGCCAACTAAAATAATTAATAATGATTAATATAACTAGCACATAAAAATCGGGGTGTTACACTCCAGCATTGGAAGCTAAAAAATAAATACAATTTGGCCTGGGGGTCGCCTCAATCAGGAGCACCTCCAGGTATTTTTATTTAATTTTTTTGAGCACTTTGATTTTCATGGGTGCTGTTCATCATCCCTGCAAACCCAAGCAGTCTGGTCAGGGAGAAAAAAAGGCATGCAGGATGTGAACTGGCTACCAAAGTTCAATTTCGATGCTGGCCAAGCTAACAACAGTGATGAGGATAATACCAATGAGGCTAGTTCTAAAACACTAGGGACAACAAACACTACAACAATGTCCACAATAAGTTCACCAAAGAAGCAATGGTCTGCACTGTTCAAGGACAACCGAGCTCCATCTGAAGGGCTAAAACTGAGGTACATTCCTCCAACTGGTGACATTCTTGACTTCTCAAATTGTGTGCTACCTTCAAAGGTTGATATTTTGGGTTACTGCCTTGTGGGTTGTTTTACGGGAAGGTTTTCAGGCTTAAAGGCAGTCCATGGCCTTACAGAAAGATGGGGGGTGCACTGTAAGGTCCAAACCCATGACAAGGGTTGGGTTGTGTTTAAATTCCAAAGTGAAGCCGATAAGACAAAGGCTATGATTGAGGGGCCATATGTACTATTCAGAAAGTTTTTCATTTTAATGGTTTTATCTAAAGACCTTTCTTTTGGAGATGATGAGTTTTTGAAGGTGCCAATTTGGGTAAAGTTCCCAAGGCTCCCATTGAGGTTGTGGAATGAGGATACTATATGTGAGATTGCATCCAAGGTTGGAGTTCCACTCGCAACGGATAAGATAACGCATTGTAAGCACCCCGGCCCCGCAGGACCCGAGGTAGTTACTTCGAACCTATAGTACTGTCCTCACAAACCGCCACTAGCCTTTTACGCGCACTTTGTCCTCACTCATGCGCGCCCTGAGAAACTTCCCAGGGGGTCACCCATCCCAAGACTACTCCCATGCAAGCACGCTTAACTTTGGAGTTCTTGGGTGATGAGCTCCCTTAAAAGGAGATGCATCTTGTTGGTATGAGTAGTACTATTAATCCGTTTATATTAAATCTCAAGTGTTACACGCATGAAAAGGCAAACCACAACTTCGCTAGGGTATTAATTGAAGTGGACGTGACAAAGCCACCTCCTCTCTCTTTTCCAATCCGGATATCTTCAGGGAAAACCATTGAGCAACAGGTTTTATATGAAACATTCCCGAATTATTGCTACCATTGCAAGCAATTTGGACACCATCCATTTGTTTGTAGTGTATTAATAGCCAAGGAAAGGGGAGAACTGGAAGAAGTTGAGGCTAACGAAATCGCCAAGGAGCCTACAACAAAGGCCAGAGTTGTACCAGCAGAATTAGAGGCTGCCAAAGCCACTAAGTAGGCCACGACGAAGGCCATAGTTGTGTCAGAACCAAAGGACCCGGATGGTGAATTTGTGGCAGTACGAAGGAAGAAGGGTAAGAAGAATGCCAAGCCGATGGTACCTTCGGAAACCATTGCTAAGGCCGCCACACAAAAAGCAACTTATACCAAGGCTACTACTAGCAAACCAAATAGAGAAGAGCCTGTTTTGGGCAGCGACAAAGATGATGGTGAGGAGACTTTTGAAGAGGAAGACGAGGAGGAGACTCACGGGAAAGAGAGGATACCTTTTAAATTTGATTTAAGAATGGTTGATGAAGCATGGGAGAAGAAATGAAAGAAAAACAAAAGATAATACGGGGGGGGGGTATTATCTAGTAGATTGCTTGGTTTGAGGTTGTTTTTGCTAGACTGTTTTAAACTTAGCCGGGGCCTGTCCCGTGCAAGTCTTACGTTTTGATTTTGATTATCTAGGTTAGTCTTGACTATTTTAGATAGATTGTTTTTAGTAACTTTTTTCGACACATTGTATTATGTTATTTTTCTTGGGTGCTAATAAAATTTACATTTCATCAACAAAAAACAAATTGAGGAAGACAAATATTGTGGCATTGAGTAGTAAAACTGAATTAGCCGTCATCTAGAACACAGTTCAAATGCCAAATCGATGATTGGATAGAACTAGCACCCAAAAAGTTCTTCAATGGTCTCTTCATTTCTAACACATGGACTAGCACATGGACTAAAGGAGTGTTTGGGTTTCCTTTAAAAAAGCGCTTTTCAGCTTTTGGCTTAAAAAAAGTTTAAAAGAGTGTTTTCAAATGACACCTTCTGCTTAAATTAATCACTTTAAAGCTAAAAGCTGAAAGCAGGTAGAAGAATGCTTTAAACTGCTTCTCACTTTTTCTATTACACAAAAAGTACTTATTTTACCAAACACTACCAACTTTTACTTTTCCAGAATCACTTTTTCCTCAAACACTACCAACTTTTACTAGTAATCACTTTTCCCAAAATCACTTTAAAAAATCATTTTTTTAAAGTTGAAGCAATGACAAACACTCCCTAAATGAAATGCGACGCAATACCAAAAAGTGGCCCATGCAAGTAATTTCCCTAATCGCGAAGGCCCATTATTTGACCATCACCAATGTCAATCTCCTCTCTCAAGTCCATCATCATTTTCGTTCCTTTCCAATCTTCTTCCGAAAAAAGCCCATCACAAGGCACATCCGCCGCCTTCTTTCAAACTCCATCACCTGCGCCCCTACTCCGTCTGGAAATTCTCCGCCCATCACAAGGCACATCCTAGTGAGCTCTCTCTGCCTGGAAATTCCATTCCCCAGCTCTGCTTTCGTCTGCTGTGCGATAGACGGTTAACTTTACGCTCGTGAAGTGTCCTACCTACAAGCATGGGGAAGAAGAGGCAGAAGATAGTCCTCCCACCGGAGCTTCCCCGGGAAGTTCCGGATGAAGAAGTCCAAGTATCAGATGATGACTTCGATTTCGTTGATCAAAATCGAGATTATGCCAGTTTGTTGAAGAATCTGGACACTAAATCTATTACAAAGTACAACTTCTCGTAGCCTCTTCCTTTCACAGTGATATTTGAGGCTTGTTTGTAACGGAAAATCTATCTTATATAGCATATTCGTCTGATAACTAGATTGTTTTGGCTCAGTTTCTCAGTTTCTTGGGTCAATAATTGAAATTTGGAGTTTGATATGAGTTTGTGTCCTAGTGAGCTCTCTATATGCTACAGTTCCATGTAGAATCAGCGGGATTAAATGCATATTTTAAGACGGGTCAGCCGGATTTTCGTTTTTTACCATTTGTTATCGAGTTCTTCCACTGGAAGTCTATTTCCTATTATTGCTAACACAGTAATACTTGTTTTGCTTCATAATGTTGTTAATCCTATTCATTCTGCTTGATAAGACATGTTACTCGCATCGCTGATGTCAAAGAGGATGCAGTTGAAGCTTTATATGAACGGAGATCAAGGAAACGATCACATATTGAAGAAAAGGAGAAGGATACCATTGAAGTAGATCCTGTGGATGCACTTCCCGTGAAGACATTAGATGGAAAACTTTATTACAGGACATGTGCGTAATTGAATTGCATTATACTACCCTCATCACAATATTAAGTTCTAGGTTGCTGAATTCTCCCAAAAAAATCTCAACTGGGCTTTTAATCTACTACATAGTATTTTATACACCAAACATTTATCATAGCTGAATTCATTTGTTGCAGTTCTAGTGTAGTTTCGAAAGATGTAAGTTTTAGTTATTAATACTAATTTGATTATAATGAGGGAGAAGTTAAGTTTATTGTCAGTTAGAAACTTAGAATATCCTAACCTGAAGTCGGAACCTCTTTTTGGCATGGAAAGGATATAAAATTTTCAGATCAAATGGGTCACAGAGCATGCTCTTTTTTAATTTCTATTTTTTATTTTGCAGTGTCAAGGGAACCAAAGAAAGTAGAAAGCAAACAGGACAGTGAACCTGCTGGTGGTGATGAAGATGTGGGTGGAAACATAGTGAAACTGAGCAAGGCAGAGAAACGTGCAAAGTTTAAGAAAACAAAAAAAGAGGCAAAGAAACAAGCAAAGGAAGGAGTTGACCTGGAGCAACTGAATCAAGCACCTCAAGCTGAAGTGTTGGTATGCAACATTTACGCAGTTTCATGGTTTTGGTTTTGTACATTGTTGCACATCTCAACATCAGTGATATTTTGTAAGATTTACAAGCAACAGCACATTATAATCTAGGACAGAGTAAATACAATAACTGAACTGATTGCTTTGCTAGTGGAATAAGGAATGGATGTGTCGTATTACATGGTGAAAATAATACCTTGTTCATCTGTTCTTAGTCTGCAAATATATATTTATATACACTACATGCATATATTCATACAATATCTTCATGGTGTTCTTCATGGCTCTTAGGATGAGGTCAGGAAGGAGTTGATAGTTGAAGAGGACAATGAGAAGAAGAAGTATAAGCTTGCTGAGCTAGGTACAGCCTTGCTTACTGATCCAGAAGCAAACATCAAATCTCTCAAGGAGATTATGCAAATTTCTAAAGACGGAGATCATGAGATAGTCATACTTGGTCTCAAATCTTTGCTAGCTGTTTTCAGAGACATCATTCCTGGGTGGGAGATGCTATATTGTTTTATGGAATGTTTTTCCTTAATTTATTCTCTTCTATGCTTGACAAAATCAGTTTGTTATTTTTTTTTCTAATGACAAAATTATTATTGTTATGCAGCTACCGCATTAGACTGCCAACCGAAAAAGAGCAGGAAATGAGAGTGTCAAAAATTGTTAAGAAAATGCGATTTTATGAATCAACCCTCTTGTCTTCATATAAGGTTAGATTTTGGACTTAGCAGATCAACATTTGAAGGATATCAAGCAGTTACAATTTCAACTTACAAATGGCGAGATGCAATTATTAGTTTATTATTTGTCATTTATTCCATTTATTCTAGTTTCCAGTAGATGCATATGCGCACCCCTTTTTCCCACTTTATTTTTAGTACTTCTCTTCGTAGGATATTTAACTCCACTTCTTCTTCCATGGTCTTGAACATAAATAGAGCATGTAGTTTCCTTCACATACTTCACGTTTTGAGCAGAGCATTTCAATTGAACTAAAAAGTATACCACCTTAGGATGGGCTTACTTTCCTTAACTTTGATGGTTTTTCTAGGCTGTCTTTCTTTCTGCTATTTGTTTAAGAGGGATAAATGGATAATATTTGATCACTCTCACAGTCTCACGGTGATGGATTAGTAACACATTTTGTTGTTGGTATGCTCTGAAGCACCTCTAATGTTAACAGGATTGCTTTTTTGACCAAATTGATGATAAGAACAAAGAACTCCAGAAAATATACCACTTTATTATAGCAATTGTGAATAATAGAGTCTGTCAAGTTTCAGAGTTCCTGATAGATAGGAATGAAGAAAAACGGAAAGAAAGTTTACAACTTTGAAGCCATTCGAGAGGGCCCCGCTCTCCTAGAACTATCCAAAATTCCCGATTCCCAGAATGCCTTCCTCCACCTTCCTTCTGCCTTTTATTCTCTTCTTTTTATTATTAATTTACCCTTCTACCCCTCCTGGTAGACTCTAGAGAAATCCCATATTGTAATTAATATCCAACCTCCCCGTATTCTCATCATTACCTCCCCCTTTAAAATTCACCTTGTCCCCAAGGTGGAAATTTGGAAACATAGCTATGAACTGAGACAAATCTTCCCAAGAGTCTTCAAATTCTGGTAGATCTTTCCAGCGAATCAATATCTCCTTGCTCCCATTGGCGTTTTCTCTAGCATCCAGATTCCAGCACTTGTGCAGGTTGTGTTTGGAGTTCCCAGGCTTCAGTCAAACATCCTGGTAGAGGCTGAGTAGGAATATTAGGGGCCACGACTTTTTTCAGCAAAGAGACATGAAATACCAGGTGTATCTTGCAACCTTCTAGCAGTTTTAACTTGTAAGCCACTGGGTTGATCTTATCCATGACCTCAAATGGACTGTAAAACCAGGGGCTTAGTTTTTGATTCAGCCTCTTAGCTAGACTTTTCAACTTGTAAGGTTGTATTTTCAAAAACACTTTGTCTCCCACCTCCAGCTGCACATCCCTACGCTTTTTATCTGCCTGTTGCTTCATTCGATTTTGAGCCACCTCTAGGTTTTGCTTTGATTCCTTGATCATTTCATTGCGATCGGCAGTAAGTTTGGTTACTTCTTCCACTGCAGTTTTTGTTGCGTCCCCTAGAATTACAGTTGGAGGCTCGTGACCATATAATGCTTTGAAAGGAGACATCTGTAATGAGGCATGATAGTTTGTGTTGTACCAGAACTCGGCCCAAGGTAGCCATTGGGGCCATTAGTTTGGTTTGCTACCAGTGATGCATCTAAGATACGTTTCCACACAACGATTCACCACTTCGCCACCTCGGTTTGCCCATTTGTTTGGGGATGGTAGGCAGTACTGTATTTCAGCTTAGTACCTGCAAGTTTAAACAATTTAGACCAAAACGAGCTCAAAAATACGCTATCACGATCAGATACTATGGTCTTGGGAAACCCATGAAGCCTCACCACCTCCTGAATAAACACCTCGGCCACACTTTTAGCTGTATAAGGATGGCCCAATGCCACAAAATGGGCATACTTAGTTAACCTGTCAACAACCACTAGAATTGTATCCTTTCCCATGGTTCGGGATAGTCCTCCAATGAAATCTAGACTGATATCAATCCAAATATGATTTGGAATAGGCAATGGTTGTAGGAGTCCTGCAGGATATCCTGGTACTTGTTCCTTTGGCAGATCTCACAACTCCTCGCATACTTTTGAATGTCTTGCCTCATCCCTTCCCAGTACAGGACACTGGCTATCCTTTTCAATGTTCTAAGGTAACCTGCATGTCCCCCACAAGCTGAGTCATGAAATTCTTTCAACACATGAGTAATTCTTGGAGAATTTCTTGGTAACATGAGCCTGTCTTTATAATAGAGTAGCCCAGTTCTCAATTTAAAGCACGGTTGAGATTCTGGTTGTACCAGCAAGTTCTGAATTAATTTATTGCACTTTTTATCTTGCAACATTTCCTCCTCTAGGCCTTCCCATTCCTGGAAATTTACTACTGATAAAGCCTGGTAACCACCCTTCCTGGATAGAGCATCAGCAGCTTTATTTTCCAAGCCCGGTTTATATTTAATACTGAAATTATATCCCAGCAGCTTCGTTACCCACTTTTGTTGCTCTTCACCCATCAGCCTCTGCTCTGTCAAGAATTTCAGGCTTTTCTGATCTGTATGTACTTCAAATGTCCTGCCCATTAGGTACAGTCTCCATTTCTGCACTGCCATCACAATCGCTAACAGTTCTCTCTCATAGACAGATTTGTTTTAGTTCCGGTTGGATAAAACTTTGCTCATAAAAGCAATAGGCCTGCCCTCCTGCATCAAAACAGCCCCTATGCCCTGTCCGGAAGCATCAATTTCGATTATGAATATTTTGTTGAAATCGGGATTAGCTAGAACAGGTAATGAAGTCATGGCTTGCTTCAAAACCGTTAGAAGCAGTCGTAGCCTCTTGTGTCCACTTGAACCCTCTTTTTAATAGGTCAATTAAAGGCTTGGCTATTTTGCTATAGCCTTTCACAAATCTTCGGTAGTAGCCAGTTAATCCCAGGAACCCTTTAAGTCCCTTCACCTCTTGAGGCATAGGCCAGTCCAGATGAAGTCACTGCATGAATATCCAAACAGGGTCAGTTGAAACACTGCAGAGATAGCAAAAGAAACTCTTGACAATGCCCAACATCTAAGTTTTTTTTTTTTAATTTTCTTTACCAGAGATGAACGTTGTATGCATGTTCATTTATCTGAATGCCTCGTTAAATTACTTCTATGTTTGTAATTAAATGTCAGTGTTGGGGTCGTTTTGTGCATAAGATTTCATCTTATTTGCATTTTACTCAAATATACATAGTTTGTGACTCTTGATGATTTTAATGTTCACCTCACTGTGCATAAATAGGCATACCTGCAGAAGCTGATTGCACTAGAAAAGAACGATGTCTACAAACGTGTGGCTATGCGCTGCATTTGCATGCTGCTTGAGGCAGTTCCTCACTTCAATTTTAGGGATAGTCTGGTGACTGCAGTTGTAAGAAACATAAGCTCTCAGGATGACATTGTAAGGTAATATATATTTTTTACTTTATACTTGAAGACTTTCTTTACCTTTTTTTGTTATGAACTGTTGAAATTGTTAATTAATTTGGGGTAGCTCCCGATTAATGATTTTTCAGTCCTATTTTTACTGATCCTTTTCTTATTCAACACACCGCTTGGTCACAGAAAACTTTGTTGTGGAGCTGTAAAGTCACTTTTTACCAATGAGGGGAAACATGGTGGTGAGGCTACCGTAGAGGCTGTTCAGTTGATTGCAAACCTTGTTAAAGTTCACGATTGTCAGTTGCATCCTGATTCTATAGAGGTGCGTGACTTATAACATAGACCAGAAGCTAAGCTTTTAATTCGACACTGTTATTATAATCGAAACAACATTCCAAGCTCATAAACTGAAAACACTGATGAACACATGTTTTTTCCTTTCATTTGAAGTTCGTAAGTCGTGTTTGCTCCGTATGGGAAAAGTTTACTTGCAATCTTAGGAGGTGTTTACTTCACTTCTAAAGTCACAGTTAGGTAGACAGGTGAAGTAAACACACAAGCTCCTTAAAAAACTGCTTACTAACCGAAAGAGGTGCTTAAAGTGCCGCTTACTAAGCATACCACCCCCATGTATTAATTATGCGGCACTTTAAGCTTTTTCAATTTCCGAATTTACCCTTACCCTCACCCCTTGCCCTTACCCCACTATTACCCCTCTACCCGCTACCCCACCCAAACCCCTACCCTACCCCACCCTACTTTATCTCGACCCCACCATCTACCCCCACCCTACTACCCTACCCCGAACCCCATACCATCTGCCCTTACCTCGACCCCACCTTGATCCCGATCCCACCCTACGAGTGGGGTAGGTGTTAGGATTATTAGTATGGTGGTTGTAGGGGAGTAGGGGTAGAGGGTGAGGTCGTGGTAAGGGTAGGGTAGGGGGTTAGGGGTATGGGTACACGTACGAGGTGACCCACATATTATATTATATATTTGTGTCATGAATGCTTGTGTGTCTATATGTGTATAAGGCAGTGTTGTTAAGATCGCGAGTTGACTCGCAAGATCGTCCGATCTTACGAGTAGAAGGTGGAGGGGCGATCTGGATCGTAACTAAGATCGGAAATCACATCAGGATCGCAGGATCGACGAGTTAGAACGTAAAATCGCAGAAACGTCGATCTGCGTCGATCTGCGTCGAATACGAGAGTAAAGAAAGAAACGGCGCTCATCATCGGAAACGACACCCCAAACAACGCGAGCTATAGAAAACGTAATGAGTTACGAAGCTTCCCCATGCGTCACCTGCTTACCTGCGAACGGACCAAACACTTTGTTCAGTTCTGCAGGTCTGCACTTCTCATCTTCTTCTTCTCAGAAACACAGCTTTGATTCGGTGATTATCATCCAACGACTCCTCGTCCCTATAGTATCTGCTTGTCCACTTCTTCTGGTCTTCTGTGCTGTTCTCATGACATCTCTGCCTTATCTCATTTACTTATCTGATTTCATTTACCGACCGACTCTCTTGGATATCACAATGATATGACAAAAAGTGGTTCTGACACAGTGAATAAAAGGCTTGTTGTGCTTTTGTACAAATATGTCATTTTAAATTATCAACTTTTCATTTTATATCTTTGAAAGTTGACATTATTAATATTAGTATTAATCCAGTGAATAAATAGGGTTATAAATTTATATATACACATACATACATATATATCTTATATCTATATATATATGCATGGTTGCTTGGATTCTAGGATCTTACGATCCGAGTTACGATCCCCGAGTTACGATCTCCTAGACCCCTTCCGATCCGTGCTAGGATCTCGAGTTTAACAACCTTGGTATAAGGTTATTTTGGACATTTTAATGTCAAACGGTGTTTTAAATCCTTTGAAGTAAACATGAGCTTACAACACTGCTTATTTTATGTGCCGCTTATTAACGCGAGTCTTAATAAGCACCGTTTAGTAACCTGTGAAGTAAATATGTCCTTAGTATATTCCTTCTGCATCTGATTTTGGCAGTTATAATTACTTCTGTCTTCAAATTGCTTCAAAAGAATTGCATTCTTTTTCTTTATCATCATCATTTGAAGCATATGTCTTTATTGCATGTGTATTGGCTCTTTTTTGTTTTATGTTTCATATAGTACACGATTAAAAGGAAAAAATGTTGAATACCACATTTTAATTTTAGATGTTATTTGCTGCTATATCAGGTTTTATTGTCCTTATATTTTGATGAAGACCTTGGGAAGCCTGAAACGTCAGAAGCAGATAATAAGATGAGCAATAAAAAATACAGGACAAAGAAGTTTAGGGAGTCGTATCATGCCTCAGAGAATGAGAAGAAGAAAGCTAGAAAAGAGATGATGTCAAAGACAAGAGAGGAGGTTTTTACTTGATGAGTAGTCATTTTTATTCCTTTGTAGATGCATGTTCATATATTTTCATGCTTTACAGATTAATGCAGAACTAAAAGCTGCATCATTTGCCAAAGATGTGGCGGAGCGGAGAAGGATGCAATCTGAGACACTATCAGCTGTATTCGAAATATTTTTCCGTGTCCTGAAGCATGCTGCTATACAGTTTAGGTACAACTACTGTACTTATCATATTAGCTACTTTAAAAGGAAAGTGGCAATGTTTTTGGGACAAACAAAAAAAGAAAGCTGGCAACTTTCAATGGGACAGAGGGAGTATCTTTTTTGAGTTTTTCCTTTCCTAGCATTTTACATAATCCAACATTCCCTAACAGAATGGAGAAACACAGAAGTTAGGAATACCCTTGGGTGTTTTAAGTTATTTTAGTCAAACCAAACATACAAAGTATGTATATCCCTCTAGGGACTGGAGAGTAGTAGGATCCGGGGGGGGGGGGGGGTCCGGACATATGGTTTATACTTCCCTCTAGTTCTAGTTATCTGTCTAGGTTGAGTAAATCACAATGTCTAAGAAAGTGTAATGATGTTTAAATGATGGGTATTAAAATAATTATAACTTCAAATATATTACCTAAGAAGGGTAATATATTACAAAGTATGTATATCGCTCTAGGGACTGGATAGTAGGATCCAGAGGGGGTCCGGGCATATGGTTTATACCCCCTCTAGTTCTAGTTATCTGTCTAGGTGGAGTAAATCGCAATGTCTAAGAAAGTGTATTGATGTTTAAATGATGGGTATTAAACTAATTAGAACTTCAAATATATTACCTAAGAGGGGTAAATTAAATATATATTTGATGTTCATAGATTTCATAGATGTACCAATAAAAAAGAACAAGGAAAGCTCGTATGCACCAATGCACACAAATAAATAGGAGTAACTGAGTAAGAGTATCTGAGTATGATTGTATCAAACACAGGATGTGTGATTGCATGAAATATGTATGTTTCCATTATTGATATCAGGTCTGCAACTAGTTCTTCTCCTGCTGCATCGTTGAGTCATCCTCTGCTTGCACCTTGTCTTAAAGGAATCGGAAAATTCTCTCATTTGCTTGACGTGATGTATATGTCTGATCTCCTGAAGTATCTGAGAAAACTCGCCGGGGGTGGTGTCAATGTCAACAGTTCTTCTGAAAGTGATTCAACAAATTTGACAGTAACTGAAAGGCTGCAATGTTGCATTGTTGCTTTTAAAGTCATGAGAAGAAATCTAGATGCCCTGAATGTAGATCTTCAAGAGTTCTTTGTCCAACTATATAATATCATACTCGAGTATAGGCCTGGAAGGTAATTCTCATCTATATGCAAATAACTGCAATGATACAATATTCTCTTTCCAAATAAAATTGCCATGTTTGAATAATGTACTCCCTCCCCAGTCCCCACCTATATTAGCTTCTTACATTCCATTTTGCCCATCGCAAGAATATCTTTCGATTTCGTTATAAAGAAAGAATTGTATGGGAGATAACATTTTTCTTGCTAATTAAATCTCAACCACAAGAATACAATGGTTTAAGTTTGTTTTCGGTGGAACCATCAATCATGAATTGTAAATTTATTTGTTGGTTTAACTAGATGTATCATATGTAATACAGGTGTGAGTCTTTCGGGCTAAATCTTTGACAAATTACATGAAAAATGTTCTTTATTTGATCAAACTAAAGCAAGACTTTAAAAATTAATTTAGTAGTTTTGTAAGCGGGGAGCTTCTTTTTTATGTTTTTTATAGCTATTATTTTTTTCTTTATGCATTCTGCATTTTGGAATGTTGTAGGGATCAGGGAGAAGTGTTAGCCGAAGCATTAAAGATCATGCTGTGTGATGAGAGGCAGCATGATATGCAAAGGGCTGCAGCTTTTATAAAACGCCTAGCGACTTTTGCCTTGTGCTTTGGTTCTGCAGAGTCCATGGCAGGTCTGTTAGTTACAGTTGTACCCATATTAAGTGAAGGGACATCCATGCAGTATTTTCATCGCTTCCATAGTTTTTTGACATGTTGGTTTGGTTTTCTGTCAATAATTTCAGCACTGGTTACCTTAAAGCATTTGCTCCAGAAGAATGTAAAGTGCCGGAACTTGTTAGAAAATGATGCCGGTGGTGGTTCGGTTTCAGGTGCCATTGCGGTAAGGATAATATTGTGGTTAGGTTTCCATTAAAATTATAAGAATCTCACATGGAAGCCTTTGCATTTTCTGCCAAAGAATGTTTGTACTGCCCTTGTCTGGTTTGAGGATACCATGTGGGTGGGTGGGGGTAGATATTGTTTTATTAATATATTTTTAGATTTATGTTGTTGAGGATGATGAAAAAGTATATAAATATGCACAATTTAACTAAGAAATAATTACATATTTATGAATCAAATAAATATTCTTTGCAAAAATGTTACATCTTAAATATAGTGACTATAGTAGTAATTTTAGTCATATTTTTGTAACTTTAGTCCCATAACTTTAGGTTGTTTTCATCATTAGCCCCGTAACTTTAGTCACTTGCAGGTTTGGTCTGTAAATTTTTGTGATTTAAGGACTTGCCCCCTCAAAAGTACACTTCCCAGCAAAAATATGCTGGAAAAGATGCCGCTGACATTGGATTTTCTGCTGGAAAGTGTAATCTCCGGTGGGAAAGTCCTTAAGTTGCACAAATTTATTAGTTAGTTACAAGGCCAAATTTGCAAGAGATTAAAGTTAAAAGACTAACAACGATAACATCTGAAAGTTACAGGACTACAATTGCAAATCTCCCCTAAGTTTTATTTAAGCAATATTTTTGAAAAAACTCTTTTAACTAAACTCATTTCTACTCCCATAAATTTTAAGTATTCATGTCTTATTGTCCTTACCATTTTTTATGGTAAACTCATGCGTAACAAAGTAACTCATTACCATATGATTCCTTCCCCTAGCATATTCTAGGGTCCAAACGTAGCCTAATTTGAAAAGTGATGCTCGCTTAGAAGTTCACAATAAAACCATGAAATATGTTATGGTTGATGGTCTGCAATTAAAAACCCCAACAAAGATATTCTGATGTTTTTTCTTTCTACCGTAGAGATATCACCCTTATGCAACAGACCCAAACCTCAGCGGGGCACTTTCATCAGTCCTTTGGGAGCTGAATCTCTTAACGAAGCATTACCATCCATCTGTGTCCACAATGGCATCTGGCGTTTCAGCCATGAACACGGCAAACAACCAGATTCTTCATTCCAACACTTCTCCTCAGCAGGCATTTATGGAACTATCACTCGAAAAGGAATCCTTCATCCCGAGGAGTGACAATAAGATGCCAAAGTTTAAGCGGAAACAGGGCCCCACCTCTTTTGGAACAGGGTTAACTAACGTTGATTTGACGGTTCAGGTGGATATGGATGTGGTTAGGAAGAAGTTAACTAAACATTTTCTCGAAATCCGTGACATTGCAGAAAACAAACGGCTAAGGGCTGAATTGGACAACACAACATCATCACTAGAGCTCTATGAACAGTTTCGTATACAGAAGAAAAGGAAACCGTAATTTGAATTTCATTTTTCTGCAGGAATTAATATTTTTGCCCTGTTTTGTTATTGTTGTTGACTTCGTTAATGCTCTTGTATTATTTTTCTTTGAACAATCTACACTTTGTTTTGTGATCTTCAAATTGCATCTGATTGGAATCGATAACTTAGAGCTCAATATAGGCCTACTAGAGAAAATCCACTTTTGATACATGATGTTGTTTTGTAATCATATAGGGGTGTCCTCAACACGGATTTTAAAGGATTGTAAATCTCATGGATTTTAATAGATTTCCGGAGATTCCATAGATTTTTAATAGAATCTTATGGAATTTTATATCATAGATTTCAACAGATTTGAATAGATTTCAACACATTTTTTTATAGACCATCTTTCCATTTGATGCTGCATTTTCTACTTTTATAACAGATTTCAATGGATTATGCTGGAATATACGGGACCTAATAAGTTAATTAACCTTTTGATAAGAGATATTGAACTGTACCGTTTGTACGTCTCTACACATTGTTTAAACATAAAAAAGAAGTGGAAAAAAGCTCCTATAATTTACAATCAAATGTTCTTATGAATGGGTGTGAGTTTAGACCTTCAAAAAAGATACAGGGAGTAGAGGGAGTAGAGGAACGATGGAAGGACCCATAAACTGAAAACAAAATAGTCGGTGGTAGAAGAAAGAAGACGGCAGAAGGTAGAAGAAACATACCTGGAGTGCCAAGGAGAAATCGACATAGATGGGGCGAGGTCGTAGGAGAAGGATCTTTTTTAATGCGATGGATTTGAGTTATTCTATTATTTGGCATAGAAATCCATTACAATCTTTTAAAATCCATGAAAGTAAATAAATTGTGAAATCCATAGAATGTTTGTGGATACCTGGATGGCTGGATTTTAAAGACTCCATTGAAATCCAAATTGAGGATCCCCAGATTTTGCACGTATGCACGTAAATATGTATGTACAAATGAGTTTTTTTGAACTATTTTATCTATGTATGTCAGTATGTGTGTGTATGCACGTATGTACGTAAATATGTATGTACATTTAACGTCACTTTGTAATGTAGATAATAATACGGAGTATTACTATACTATTAAGAAAGAACACAGATATTCCGATCAAGAATTTCCTGACCGGAGTCCCGTCCGGCCTCCTCCATTTGGGGGCCTTCTCGGTGATATTTTTTGCTCGAATGTTTTGTGTATGTTCCTCATCAAGTCTAGTTCATTCATACCAAATTTCAGCAAAAAATTCAATCGGGAAGGTCGTCAAATGATTTTTGAAAGTTAACTGGTCCGGAAAATACATATTCCGGACCAGTTAACTTTCAAAAATCATTTGACGACCTTCCCGATTGAATTTTTTGCTGAAATTTGGTATGGATGAACTAGACTTGATGAGGAACATACACAAAATATTCGAGCAAAAAATACCACCGGGAAGGCCCCCAAATGGAGGAGGCCAGACGGAGCTCCGGTCAGGAATTTCCTGACCGGAATAGCTCTCTAAGAAAGAATATATGATGTTGCATTCAATGGATACATTATATGGAGTAGCTTTTTAAGAAATTTGATCTCGTTAGTTCCTTTGGTATCGTGTGAAATTGCACAATCGTTTCATAAATAAAATTCTTAAATAAAAAAATTAAAATTGCCCAACCTATGTTAAATTCCATATTAACTTTATGTTTGTTGGAGAAAATGAGTATAGTTAACATTAAACTCCACGTATTACTTTTAAATACTTGATTAATGACATGAGAAAGAACGAACAAAAATTATCAATCTAGGACCTAAGTTGTCGTGAATTTTATTTTTATTTTGAAAATTTAAATATTATTTAATTTTATTAAACTAATAAACTTTTGTGAAGAAAGGTATATAAAAAATTAGAAATGGAATTAATAAAAAATTAAATAAACCAAAATCTATGAAATTTTAGGTCATAGATTGATAGTTTTCCATCATTCGGGTCCTATATTGATAAATTTCATCTTTCGGATTCCGGATTGATAATTCATTGCGTATTCAAAGATTTTTGCCACTTTCACATATGTTCTCTCCATTCTTTATTAATTATTCCGTATTCATTTTAGAGAATTTTTTTGTTATTTGTTTTTCTTTCTAATTTTAGAATGTTTTCAATCAAAGTTAGTTTATATTCTCACTTTTATTACTCTTAATTTTGTACTGGTTAGTTTTTAGGGACTACCCCATTTTTCTTATTTTTATTACTTTTTTTCTTACTCCATTTATTTCCTACATTTTCACTGTCTTACAAACTTTATACGGAGTACTACCTTTACTATTTCTTTTCTTAAAAACCGTGAAATACTTAGATAGACATAATAATTGTACAGTATTATTTGTCATCTTTAGGAGTCACAAGCTTCAATCATACTTTATCCGTTCTATTTTTAATGCAACATTTCATTTTCTCATTGGTGAATGCACAAGTTTGGTCATTAATGTTTTATAAGATAGTTTTAATAGTATTTTTTATCAAAAACAAATTTATAATAAATTAATAAATAAAATTAGTTAGAGTAGAACATAGAACATATAAATGATGTAAAATTTAATTATGTTGCATCTACAAAAAGAAGAAATTAATATAATTTTCCACTTTTTTTAAAGGAGCACTTTTTCCACAATAAATTAAAACTTCCCGTTTAGTTGAAATTTACCACGACCAGTATTAACTAGGGTTGTAAACGAATCAAATAATTTGTGCTCGATTCGTGATTCGAATTCGTATAAGACGATTCGAATTTGGAAAATTCAAATACAAATATGAATATTAAATTTGATTCGATTTGTTATCAAATACAAATAAGAATATCAGTGTATTCGATTCGAATATTAATCAAATATATTCGATTAATAATAGTGATAATATTAATATTAATAATAATAATATTATTATTATTAATAATAGTAATAACACTATAATAACTTTTAAAAGATAGCAATACCCTAAAGTGTAGTTCATATATACATTTACGCATACAGATTCTAAGTCCATTTGTAATAAATCAGAGTATAAATACGAATACAAATCGGATTTTTGGTTCAAATGTCTTTCAAATACAATACAAATAATTTTCCCAATTCGATTCACAGAATAAAATTAGAGTCGTTTGACTTTGATATATACAATTATCAACTTATTTCACACATTATAAGTGTAATTTCTAATATTTGTGTGTTAGTGTTTATTTCAAAAAGTTTGAAATAGATTCATATTTATTAATCATAAAATTGATTCACTTTAGTATATCGTGCACAATCTAAAAATGCATTGATCCATTGAATTTAAATTCTAAAAACACATACTCCCTCCGTCCCCTTTTAAATGTCCCGTTTTACCATATTGAGATGTTCCTATTTAATTGCCCCATACCTTATTTGATAAACTTTGTGTGGCTCAAAATCATTCTTACTTTATTCTTACTTTATCAATTAATATCAACCATACAAACTCACTTTTCTTAAAACCCGTGCCACCATCTCCCGTCCCATTTAAAAGGGGACGGAGGGAGTACTACGTATTAAATCATAGCGTACATTTACAACATAAAAAAATATAAGTAAATTTAATTTTAAGTGATATTTGACTAATATTTAACCTATGCTCAAATCTATTCGATATTCGTATTGTTAAATGAATACAAATACAAATCGAAATTAATATTAGTTTTATATTTGAATTCGAATTTGTACTCGAAAAAATTAAACAAATACAAATACAAAATTCTATTATTCAACTAGATTCATACTCCGTATAATAGTATTAACCTCGGATAGTTGTAATTTACCGCACCAAACCGCACAATAAATTAGGCGATTGCTATGATTGCAAGGATTATCAAACCCACACTTTAGTCGTCACAAACCCTAACATTCTTCCAAGTTTCTTCGAGAGAGTTCCGAGCTCCTGAAGCAGCCGGCGATGTCGCACTTCGGCAGATCTGGCCCGCCGGATATTACAGATACATTCTCCCTCCTCGTTCTCAACATAACTTTCCGTAAGTGTTCAGTTCTCTATTTCCATAGCAGTTTTCCTCGTGAAATATTCAACAGTTTTGTATAATTTTTTACGTGTTGCTCCAGGTACCACCGCCGATGATTTGTATCCCCTCTTCGATAGGCATGGGAAAGTGGTGGACGTCTTCATCCCAAGAGACCGAAGGTATATGCATCTTTCCGTGCTCTTCTATATGTATATCTTGGTTGCAGCTATATGTATATCTCTTACCACTCGAAAGTAGATGTATTTTTTTTATGTTGGTTGGGATTTTAAAAAATCCATCCTTGTCAACCAGGATTTATTAGAATCTAGATGCAGATTGTCTGCTACTTCTTACTGGTGCTGTGGAATACGTTGCATGCAGGACAGGGGACTCGAGGGGTTTTGCTTTTGTTAGGTACAAATACCAGGATGAAGCCCAAAAGGCCGTAGAGAAACTTGATGGTAAGCTTTGGTTTAAATATTAACAGATTAAAGAAGTAATTTCGTTCCTCAAATTTATGAGTGTTAGTAATTGTAATTCTCTGTTTGTATTGATGTGTAGGGAAACTTGTTGATGGAAGAGAAATAATGGTCCAGTTTGCAAAGTATGGACCCAATGCTGAAAGGATGTAAGGAAGTTTTAACAATTTCAAGTTGTTCGATTCGCCTGCACCTTTTTCATAGATTATTGTTTCATTGTAACTTAAATAATAAAGGATATATTTATCCATTCCAGTCACAAGGGAAGAATTGAAGAGCCTGTATTCAAGACACGAGGACGGTCACGAAGCTTCAGTCCCAAGCCAAGGTAATTCCTCCTCTCTTTTTTTCTCCGCTATGATTATGTACTGTTATTTTATAAAATTTATACTCTGTAATACTAAAAAGTCAACCTGTCATTCCATAATTGTTGTCTTAGTCAAAACAATCATTTTACAATTATATTATATACCGTACATCTTAAATCTTATGAAGGTTTTCTGAATTGTTGAGTTCTGTACAAGTGTTTATTGCTTTGTGATAAATTCATTTTTCCATTTTTCACCGAAGGAAAGATTGCTTCTGAAGCAAGACTATTCTTTTTCATGGATATGGTTTTCTACCACATGAGTTCTTTTTTCAACAATGGTTGCAATTTTATTAAGATTAAGATAGCTCCATGAATCATAATCTAAATTATCCATATCTCCTATCCTGTTATCCTTTGAACTGGTATCACAGGTACAAAGATCACTACAGCAGTGGGCGGGATTATAGGAGGAGAAGCA